ACAAACCTTCTTAGACAGCTTAACAATCTCACGGACCAGTTTCAAAACCCCTTTCTTCTTCTCGGCGATTTCAATGCCCACAGTCCGGCTTGGTTGGACACACAATCATTGAAACCCAGAGGAAGAGTTCTGGAAGATTTTCTTGATATGAATAGATTAGTAACACTCAACTGCAATCAACCGACACACTTTAATTTATCACATAATACAGAGTCAGCCATCGACTTATCTATTTCTTCTTCTTGCATTGCCCCTTGGTTCCACTGGACTGTTGATAGTGATATACACGATAGCGATCATTACCCGATTTTTCTTCGTTTTGGTTTTCCAGTCCCGGGTATCAGCTCTTTCATCCCCCGCTGGAATCTTGGCAAAGCTGATTGGATTAAATTCACAGAGTTGTGTGAATTTGAACACCACGAGCGCTTTGCAAATCCTGAAGACGGTATTTCATACATCACTGAAACATTAATATCAGCCGCAAAAGAGTGCATTCCTGAAACCAAGCCATGCAAAAAAGGAAATGCTGTACCGTGGTGGACACCCGCGGTTCGATTGGCTATAGCAAAAAGGAAAAGAGCCTTCCGTACTTACCTTAGACTTCGCACAGAACAAGCCTTAATTAACAGAAATAGGGAGCGCGCAAACGCTCAGCGAACTATTCGGGCAGCCAAGCGCGACTCCTGGACCCGATTTTTGTCTTCATTTACTTCTTCGACGCCTTTATGCAAGATTTGGGATTTAGTTCGTCGTTTATCCGGAAAACGCACAGCTGCAACTTTCCCGGTGCTTAGGCTTCCGGGAACAGCCAACACCATTAGTGAACCAAATGATGTCGTAAACTGTTTAGCTCAACAAGTTGCTTTCACGAGCTCAAATGAACGCTACCAACCACAGTTTATAGGTAGGGCTCGTCAACGATTTTTGCCTGACCCAGATACTTTTCTCTCAGATAACAACGAATACTACAATGTTCCCTTCACAGCACAGGAATTAAATGAGGCCATCGGTTCCGCCGGAAATACTTCCGTGGGGCCTGACAAACTTCATTATTCTTTCTTCCGCCATCTTTCGGAGAACTCGAAGCTTTTCATTCTTCAGACGTTTAATGATCTGTTCTGCAAGCAGGTCTTCCCAGAGCATTGGAAAGAAAGTATAGTTGTAACTCTATTAAAACCAGGTAAAGCTAGGCATAACGCAAACAGTTATCGTCCTATAGCCATGACAAGCTGCATAGGCAAGCTTTTGGAAAGGATGGTCTCCAAACGTTTATCGTTTCACCTCGAACAGCAAGAGTTGCTTTCGAAATTCCAATGCGGGTTTCGAAAGCAACATTCTCCAATCGACCACTTGATCCGTTTGGAAAGTGATATACGGAAAGGCTATAAAAAGAAACAACATACTTCAGCAATTTTTCTTGACATTAAAAACGCTTTTGATATGGTGTACAGGCCGGCATTGATTCATAAATTAGGCCTGCTTGGCATCAAAGGACACTTGGCTTTTTATTTGTGCAACTTTCTCTCGGGAACCAGGCGTTTTCGTGTTCGGCTCCGCTCAGTATTTTCCAACACGTATGAAACACAGAATGGACTTCCACAAGGTAGCTGTTTATCTCCAATTCTTTTCAACATTATGATTGACGATTTATTTGAAAACATTCCTGCTGACACATCTTTCTCTCTCTTCGCCGATGACAGCGCCATTTGGTGTACCACACCTGACTATGACATCGGGATCCATCGTCTACAAATAGCACTACATAAAATAGAAAAATGGTCGGCCTTGTATGGTTTGGAATTTTCTCCGGAAAAATCTGCGTTTATGATTTTTTCCAAACACAACATAACACAGCCATCTTCTCTCCCTACCTTGAACGGGACGCCAATTCCACTCGTAAAAACTTTCAAGTTCTTGGGAGTCGTCTTGGACCCCAGATTATCAATGGTACATCATGTCAAACACGTTCAAACAAAATGCAAGAAAAGGTTAAATCTGTTCCGCTGTCTCACCAGTACCCCAGCGGGGGCAGATCGCTCGGTACTTCTAAGATTATATAAAAGCATTGTTTTACCCATTATTGAGTATGGGGCAGTCATGTACGCAGGGGGCTGTAAATCCAGTTTGATTAAGTTGGAAGCCGTCCAAAACAATTTTTTGAGGTTAGCTCTAGGAGCCATGAAAACATCACCGATATCATCTCTTCAAGTAGAGGCTGACATTATTCCTCTGCACATTAGGCGAATGGATTTATCTTTACGATACTACTCAAAAATTAAACAATATCCGTCACACGCAGCTCACACAGCTATATCCGTTCTTCCTCGGCTGCATTTCAGTTACCTCGGTCGATGCGAGAGACGGACCGGGCTTACATTGGCCTCACGAACAAGAAAATATCAAACTGATTTAGGATACGAGTTACCCAATGTCCCACCACTACCGCATTGTGCCGTATCGCCTTGGACGGCTCATCCACTTTCGGTGTCCTTTTTGTTTACGGCTCGTAAGGATTCTCTCTCTCACGGCGAAGTGAAGCAAGCTTTTCTTAGTTTTCAGGCGTCCAATGCTCTTTTCCATTTTGTTTACACAGATGCCTCAAAACAAAACAACACGGTCGGCATCGGTATATTCGCTCCAGAATATCCACAAACACTTGTAAGGGTACAAAATGATATTTCTGTCTACTCTGCTGAGCTACACGCAATTTTCCTCGCTCTCAAACTTATTCGCCATCACCACATTCAAATGGCATGCATATGTTCCGATTCCAAATCAGCAGTTTTAGGCCTTTTGCAACCTGATACCACGCAACATATTTGTTTAAACATACTTAATTTGCACCAACAACTTATCGACAACGGAGTTAAAATACAGTTTTTGTGGATACCTGGGCACAGCGGCATATATGGCAACGAAAAAGCAGACCAATATGCCAAGCAAGCCCTAGCGATTCAAGACATCACCGCGATCCCTTATACCTCCAGCAATATTCGAGCCTCCATAAAACAACATTGTTACCACTTCTGGCAAAACAGTTGGGACACCGATGGTATTGGCACACACCTTCATCGTATTAAACCGTATATACAACATTGGTCATCATCAAGTCGAAAATCCAGGAGAGAAGAAAAGGTTTTGGCAAGACTACGAATCGGACATACTTACTTAACTCATTCTCACATATTCAATCGACAGCCAAGGCCTACTTGTCCTTCTTGTAGGTCTCCTCTTACAATCGAACACATTATAGTACATTGTCGTAAATATCATATACATCGTAAACCAATAAATGACTACTGCCGGGCACATGTTGTACAAATGAATCTACCCATCGTTCTTGGTGATGATCATCCTGCATTACTACAACTTCTCTTCTCTTTTCTCCTTAAAACGGATCTTCTTCATCGTCTGTAGGTTCACTAGTTTCTTCATTCAGTTTATTTAATTCGACTTCGTTAACACACCGGTGCGAAATGGTCTAAAAGACCGAAGCACCTAACCAACAAAAGAAAGAAAAAGAAAAGGCGAAATACAAGAGATATCTGTATCTTACAGTGTTTCTACTGGCTACACCAGCCAGATTGGTGACCCCGCGTTCTGCGCACTAAGGGATCGCTATCCCCTCGTGTTCCCTGGCACACCGACACTGGCCTGCACCCTGAGCTATCTCCTCCAGCTCTCTTTGTGTAGGAAGGAAGTGGCGGATGGTGTGTCTCCACGAGGATCCTTATTTTGTGCTGTGTGGAACTGGATAACGCCGACTACTACTGCTGCACTAAGGACCAGCTACTTCATCGGCTCATCTTACCGAACGGCTACCTCTGCAGCTGCACCGCAGCACCTGCCGATCGCCGGATCGCCGTCGCCGCCACCGATCTTCCCGACCATTGCTCTCGGCAGCCATGGACCAGAAGACCCAGCCTGCCGGCGCCGGTGCAGCCGCCGGAACCGGTGCAGCCGCCGGCGCCGGTGCAGCCGCCGCCGCCGCCTCGCATGCCGCTGCTGCTGCTGCTGCCGCTGCCGCCCAACCGGACTACCTCCGCGTGGCGACCGCGCCACGCAGCCACGTCGCGCCGCCGCGCTTCTTCGAGGAGGACCCCGTGATCTGGCTCGTCCAGCTCGACCTCTTCTTCTCTCAGGCAGCTGTGGACGATGAGCTCAGCCGCTTCCGGATCGCCGCTACTCTCCTTCCTGGCCACCTCCTGCGCGACTTCACCGACATCCTCCGCAACCCTCCTCAAGACCGACCTTACACCATCCTTTCCGACGCCATCCGTCAGCGGTTCGGCAAATCAGTCGAACAGCGTCTTCGCTGCCTGCTCTCTGGCCAACAACTCGGCGACAGGCGTCCTTCCCAATTCCTTCGGCATCTCCTGGACCTTGCTGAAGCTGAAGGCTCACAAGATTCCCCGCTCATCCGTCAGATCTTCCTCAATGCTCTTCCGCCTCGGACTCAGCCCTTCCTCCAGTGCCTGCCGCCTGGGACGGACCTTGCGACCATCGCTAGCACTGCCGACCGACTCCTGGAGCTTCCGCAGCAGTCGGACGTCGCTGCACCTACCTCAGGCCTTCTCGCCGCGGTATCGACTTCTGCGCCTGCTGCAGCCTCACCTGCTGCTCCTGCAGGACCCTTCCACCTCCAAGACCTGATGAGTCAGCTGCTGACTGGTATCACGGCCCTCACAACATCAGTCGCCACACTGGTGGACGAGACGCGCCGCCGAGAGAGGTCTGCATCCCGTGCCCCCGGCCGCGCTCGCCACCGTCCACCACGCGACCTGTCTGCTGCTGCCCGGTCACCCAGCCCTGCAACCAGCACATCTACCGGCGCTGGTGCTTCCTTCTGCTGGTACCACCACAAGTTCGGTACCAACGCGCGCTCATGTCAGTCACCGTGCTCGTGGTCTGCAACCGCAACTCCGACCTCGGGAAACCAGCAGTAGGACAGGTGACACAGACGTCTACACCTGCCCTGCTCAACTCTGACGTCCCTCCAGCCAGCGGCCTTCTGAGACTCAAGGACAACAACACTGGCATCACCTTCCTCATCGACACTGGAGCCGAGTACAGTGTTCTTCCAGCGACACCCACCGATCGTGCTCGCGGAACCAACGGTCTGGATCTGCAAGCAGCCAACAACAGCAGCATCCAGACCTATGGTCAGCGCATGCTCACGCTTTCTCTTGGCCTCAGAAGAGATTTCAACTGGATCTTCATCATCGCGGACGTCTCCCATCCTCTCCTAGGAGCCGACTTCCTCTCCTCGTATGATCTCCTCGTCGACACCAAGAGAGGCCGTCTCATCGACCACCTAACTGAGTTGTCCTCACCTGCTTCCCACTCCTCAGTGCCATCCACCGGACTGACAGCCGTCGTCGGAACCGACAACCCAGCATTCCTTAACCTCCTTCGAGAATTCCCCAGCCTCACCCAGCCGTCACATCATCCGGAGCCACAGCACTCAGTCCGACATCACATCGAGACTACCGGCCCTCCGGTCTTCTGCCGCCCACGCCGTCTGGATCCAGCTCGACTCGCCACTGCCAAGGCAGAGTTCCAGCGCCTCCTCAGTCTCGGAGTCATCCGACCCAGCAGCAGTCGGTATGCATCACCGCTGCACATGGTGCCCAAGTCGTCTGGAGATTGGAGACCCTGTGGTGATTACCGTGCACTGAACCGCATCACAGTGCCTGACCGGTACCCACTACCACATCTCCACGACTTCACTGCCTGCCTCGCTGGGACATCGATCTACTCTCGGCTCGACCTCGTCAGGGCCTTCAACCAGATACCGATGGCCCCAGAAGACATCGCCAAGACAGCGATCACAACGCCCTTCGGCGCCTTCGAGTTCCTCCGTATGCCGTACGGTCTCCGGAACTGCGCTCAGACCTTCCAAAGGTTCATGGATCACATCCTCCGTGGCCTGGACTTCGCCTTCGTCTATGTAGACGACATCCTCATCGCCAGCAGCAGCATCTCGGAACACCTGTCACACCTCCGAGAGGTCTTCAGCCGTCTTTCCCGCAACGGTGTGCTCCTCAACCCATCGAAGTGCGCCTTCGGCATGGAGAGCATCTCCTACCTCGGCCACCAGATCTCCAGCGGAGGCATCACTCCTCTCGACGATCGAGTCAGTGCGATCAAGAACTTCGACCGTCCAGAGTCAAAGAAGAGCCTCAAGAAGTTCCTGGGGATGATCAACTTCTATCACCGCTTCATCCCACACGCTGCTGCTCTTCTGGCACCTCTCCACGGCCTGACTGCCTCAGACGACCGAGCTTCTTCAGTCACGTGGACCCCAGAGGCAGACGCCGCCTTCTCTGCAGCCAAAGCCGCCCTCGCTGACGTCACCCAGCTCGCTCATCCCGTCAAAGATGCAGCTCTGAGCCTCAGCACTGACGCCAGCAGCACGGCAGCCGGCGCCGTGCTCCACCAGCGAGTTGGTGGTTCTCTCCAGCCTCTCGCCTTCTTCTCGCGCAAGTTCACGCCCACCCAACGCCGCTACAGCACCTTTGGACGGGAATTGCTCGCGATGTACCTCGCCGTGCGACATTTCCTGCCCTATCTGGAAGGACGCGACTTCGAGATCCTCACGGACCACAAGCCGCTCGTCTTTGCTCTCAAGGCCAACGGCAACGCCAACCATTCTCTCCGTGAACAACGTCACATGGACCTGATTCTGCAGCACACCAGCAAGATCGGACATGTTCCTGGACACCTCAACCCGGTAGCTGACGCCATCTCACGGATCAGCTCAGTGTCTGCGCCAGCTTCTGCCGCAGCTACACCTTCACCCGGCCTTCTGAGCCTGGCCGACATCGCCCTACACCAAGCCAACGATCCTGACCTGCCGAAGCTGCAACAATCCTCATCTCTGGTCATCCGTGACTTCCCAGTCCCTGATCATCCGCATCTACGTCTCTGGTGCGACACCTCAACGGCCACACCTAGACCTGTAGTCCCAGCCAGACTCCGCCCTTCCATCATCAAGAGCTTCCACGACTTGTCTCATCCTGGCATCAACGCTACGCGTCATCTCATCTCATCGAGGTTCATCTGGCCCCACATCAACGCGGACATCCGTGCCTTCGTCCGGAGCTGCCAGCACTGTCAGCGTGCCAAGATCCAGCGCCACACGAAGCCACCCATGGGCAGCTTCCAGCCACCTGACTCTCGCTTCCTGCACATCCACATCGACCTTGTCGGACCACTTCCTCCGTCCCATGGCAACTCCTATCTCCTGACTGTCGTCGACCGCTTCACCCGATGGCCCGAGGCAATTCCTCTGCCCACCATGGACGCCGTCACGGTGGCTCGGCATCTCGTCAGCGGCTGGATCGCCCGCTTCGGAGTACCCGAACTCATCACCACCGACAGAGGATCCCAGTTCGAGTCCCGCCTCTGGACAGAGGTCTCCAAGCTTCTCGGCACCTCTCGGATCCGGACCTGCGCCTACCACCCAGAAGCAAACGGGATGGTAGAGCGCTTCCACCGCCAACTGAAGTCAGCTCTGCGGACCGATGACGACGCCGCTTCCTGGTCGGACCGACTTCCTCTGGTGCTACTCGGAGTGCGCACGGCCCTCAAGGAGGATCTCGGATGCACTGCTGCAGACCTAGTCTATGGTTGCAGTCTCCGACTTCCTGGTGACTTCCTCTCCCCCATGTCGTCGGACACTTCTTCTGATCCGGCTTCCCTAGCCTCTCGTCTCCGTGCCGCCATGTCGGAGCTCCGTCCAACTCCTCCTCGTCCTGGTTCCCGCCAAATCTTCATCTCTCAAGACATGCAAACCTGCTCCCACGTCTTCATCCGACGCGATTCGCATCGCTCTCCTTTCCAATACGTCTATGACGGTCCTTATCGTGTCCTATCCCGCGACCAGCACACCGTCACCATCGACCGTCTCGGGCGACGCGACACCGTCACCCTGGCTCGGTGTAAACCGGCCTTCACGGACAACATGCCTGCCGCAACGCCGCCTGCAGCACCGGACGTCCTGGTGAACGACACGCCTACTACAGCGACAGACAGCTCGGTGGACCGCCCGCCTGCTGCATCGCCTGCACCCAGCCGCTCAGGTGCCCCCGGCGGCTCTCGCCCGGCTCGCCGCGTGCCGCCGGGCCCGCCGCCTGCTTCGCCGCCCCCTCTCCGCCGTTCGTCGCGTACTCGCCGCCAAACTTCTTTTTATGGTGTTTAACTAGGGCGGGGGAGTGATAGATAGATAGATAGATAGATAAGCTTTATTTCAGACTCTGGGTCCATACTCTTAAATACTGATGATTTCAGTCAGTGCAGTGGCAAGACAACCAAATGTCACACAAACAATCATTCGGGCCTGTTTCAGCACTCGCGCAGAGCTATGTGCTAAAATGAACGTACAGTTGCTGTTGCCAGTGGCGCCTCAGGCGAGAACGGTATTTTACACTCGAATTTTCAGTCTTTTTTACCAGCTCACTATCACATGTACTCAGCCTGCACATGAAGTTGTAGATGCGCTGTCTGATGAGAACGGCACAATGAGGAACACGGTGCACGACACATGTGTGAGAAGAACTCTCGTACCTAGAAATGCCTAGCATAGTTTTCAATACCGTATGGTAAGCCACCATCAGCCGGCGCAACATACACTGACGATAATTTGACCACAAGTGTGCAGTGTACATAGATGAACAAAACGCTGTAAAGAGACGCGCCTTTGCTGCTACCGAGCACATGTGAAAACGACGAATCAGCACATTCCCCTGTTTGTACATTTGTTTACACTGCCGATCTATGTCAAGGTCATCTGAGTAAGCATGATTACTGATGATATGCCCTAAGTACTTTACATGATCAACCTCCTTTAGAGGAACACCTTCAATGAACAGCCTTGGCAATATCAAATCTTTCATGTGTTTAGAGCGACAAGCCAGTACAACACTTTTCTTTGCATTGTACAAAATATTGCAAGTTTTTCCAAATTCTCCACACAATGAAATCAGTTTGCTCAACCCTGCAACCGACGGTGATAACAATACTACATCATCTGCGTACATCAGATGATTGATTTTCGCATCCCCTACCCAGCAACCTACATTCTGTCTATTTAACAAAGAACTCAGACCGTCCATATACACATTAAACAGATATGGGGACAATATGCCACCCTGCCTAACACCGTTCGATACCCTAAATTTAAAGGAAATGGCACCACCCCACCGGACACACATTTCCTGACGGGCGTACCAGTACACGAGTACACGAACAATGTATATTGGGACTGCTCTGTCTCGAAGAATGTCGAAAAGCCTTTTATGCTGTACACGATCGAATGCCTTGCTTGAATCCAAGAAACACATAAATACACTGCCATTCATGGACTTGTACAGATCAATAGACTGTTTCAGGAGGTATATGCACTGGTCAGTTCCCATTCCCTTTTTGAAGCCAAACTGATTGGAGGCTGTCAACAGGTGGTCCTCCATCCGTTCCAAAAGGATTAGTTCTAGCGCTTTACTCATTACGCTAGCTAGCGCAACAGGTCGGTAGTTATCTTTTGCAGTGACCTTACCAGCTTTATCCTTGATAATCGGCACCAGGACCACCGCCATCATTGATTCTGGGAGAATGCCATGCATAAGTAGTGCTGTGAAGCAAGCGGATAACTTTGACGATAAACTTTTCCCCGCATATTTCAAGTTTTCGGCCTGTAAACCATCAATCCCACTAGCTTTCCCACACTTCATTTTTTGGACAGCATCCTGAATCTCGCCTTCGGACACTCTGATATCACCTACAGACGATTCCCTGTCCTCTTCCCAGAGCGTACCATCTGATGACGGCATCGAATTGAGAAGGCTGGAGAAATGTTTCCCCCAAAAGTCAGCAATCTCACCCTCACCACACACACCGTCAATCACTGATGGTAGGGGAGTACTACTGTTACTCAGCGATCTTATTTCTTTCCAAAAAGATTTACAGTCATTGTCACATAACTTTTTGGCGATGGCTTCGCGTCTCAGAACACTTTCATTTTTCTTAACAAAACGAATGGCATACTTACACCTGGCCCTGCCTCTGCTGTAGGCATCAAACACTGGGCCATGCTTAGGTTTCCCTGCTTCTTGCCAAAGTCGATACAGGTCTTTCGATTCTTTGTACAGGTCAGAAACATAGT